GAGATCCAGCACCTTTGGCCTTTGAGAGTACCAATACTCATGTACATATCCCCTGCAGACACACACATACATAATTAAAATAATAAAGCTTAAAAAATAAACTATTAAGCTGGGCGCTGGTGGTACACCCCTTTAATCCCAGCAGAGGCAGGCGGATCTCTGTGAGTTCAAGGCCAACCTGGTCTACAAGAGCTAGTTCCAGGACAGGTGTACATTGCCTGCAGAGGCCAGAAGAGGATGTTGGATCCTTTAACAGATAGTTGTGATCTGCCATGTGGGTGCTAAGAAACCCAGATCCTCTGGAAGAGCAACCAGTGCTTTTAACTGTTGAGCCATCTCTCCAGTTTCTTCAGTTGAACTAAAAATATTAAGAGTTCTTGTTTTCTAGGTATGTCATAATTACATAGTACTTGGAAAATATCTATATACATTTGTTGAGTAAGTCTGTTAGTTACTTTAATTTACACTTAACCAAAATGTGTACACTTTTATGTTTTTAATTCTTAGGCTAGACAGCAACAAGCAGAATTGGCCCAACAGGAATGGCTTCAAATGCAGCAAGCCGCCCAACAAGCCCAGCTTGCTGCAGCCTCAGCCAGCGCATCCAATCAGGCAGGATCTTCTCAAGATGAAGAAGAAGATGATGATATCTGAAATTCACCATCTCGGCTTCTGTGTCCTCTACATATATATATATATATAAAAAAAAAACAGTGGAAGAAATGCTTATCTGTCATTGTGTATGCATCCTGGTGGACTTACCGTTGGTGTTCTAGAGACGTCTCTGTCAGGTTTCAGCTGCTGTGCTGTACATGTAAAACTGTCTCTTTCAACACAACATCAGCTTTGAATTTGTAATGGTGTTTCTGGAATCTATGAGCAGTGTGAACCCTTTATTTGGTCTATAAACAGTATTACAGAAAATGTCAGGTTTATAAAAATACAGTGAAATTTACACAGATGTCTTAATTTGTATTTGCATTTTCTCTGCCCTTTTAACCAAACTAAAATTGAAAGTTTTATACTGAGATGGGGCATGGTGTGATGCAGAATACGTTGAATCAGGTCGGCGGAAAAAATTCAGTTCTATATAGTATCTAAATTTTTTTGTCTTTTAAAGTGAGTATATATGCAGGCAACAATTATATATGCTCAGATAAATATACTTGCTAAGAGAACTACTCAAATAAGACATTCAAAAACTAGAAAGGAAATGTATTCACTAATAGCTGTATAAATTTGGTGAGTTACGTTTTTGATTTTGTTATTGTTTTGTGTAACATTAAGACTAGTTTTATTATAGTGTAATTTATCCTGAGCTACACTATGCCATTTCAGAAACTGGCTAATCTTGAAGATGGTTGATTCGCACTGATTCACTCCAGTTTGGTAATTGTTCATAGTATTACTTGCTTAGTTCGTGTTTATGTCATTTGCATATAGAGGTAAGACTTATGCAACTGTTGCTTGGGTTCCGTTGGTTTAACTGAGGCTCATGGATATTCAGACTTGCTAGGGGAAATAAATGAAAACTAATGAACATGTTTGCTATGAGAGAGGGCTTTAAAAATATTTAACATGTAGTTTACATATTGTTTGGTTTTAGGGTAACATTTGCATTTTCTTGACTAGGTGACCTTAAGAGTCCAGTGCTAATTCTTGATATGACATCGTCCCCCTCATAATTGAGTGATGGCTTTAAAGTTTTGCGTTTGATTAAAAAGTGTCACAACTGACCAGCCCTACATGAAGTGTTAACTTGCTTGTTAAAGGAAGCAGCTTGAATTTGGTTTCGGTGACTAAAGTGTGATAGTGTTTGTGAGAGGGACCCAGTGTATTTGGAGAAATGGTGTATTGCTTGTTTGGAAACAAGAAAAAAAATGCCATCTAAGGAAGTCATTAAGTTCCTATGTTTGTTGCCAAGTCATTTAAATTTCTGTATTCACCAAGCCCCAGAAGAGATTCTAGCTGCCAGGATTTTAATTTTAATTGGAGAGCTAAGTAGAGTTTATAAGTATTAGATTTCTTAATATTCATATTTTGCAGTTTTAGAAAAAGGGAAATATTGTTATGCATTTATCAGATAGATATTCTTCCCCAGTATAACAGAAAAGGTAGTAAAAGGATAGTAATTTTGCTGAATGCTTTATGCTGAGTTATTTTAAGGAGTTTCATGGATATGCCCATGAAGTGTTTGGAAATTGTTTTCTCAAAAAGGTTAAGTACCAAAGGTGTAGGTAGTTTAGTCTACAACAATAAGTTAGTCACTGCTGGCTATTCTAATTTGTACTGTAACATTCTTTTACTTTGTTTAAAGTGTATGTTTCTCAAACAACTTAGATATTTTTCCATACTTTTTTTCTGATGCAGTCTTCAGGTTAATATTTTACTGCATCTGATAATGTATTATATGTTTGAGGCCTAGTGACTTTCCATTTTGATGTTCTTGTGATTTCATATGCTGTATTCTTCAAGCAATAAAATTCTGATGTGTTTTATAAATTGTTTTTGTAATTAATGATTATATGGCGATTTCTGTTATGATTTTCAGCACTTTTGAGAATGACTAGTATGAAAGACATGGGTTATTTGGTATGCAGTGCCCCCTTCCCATTAGTTTACTGCTATTTCAGAAAACATAGTTTTTCTTCTTTTTGTACATGTCCAGATACGGGCACAGCAAAGCTCATTAACATTTTTTTAATAATTTATTTTTATTATGTATATGGTGTTCTGCCTGTATGTATCACTGTAGGCCAGAAGAGGGCACCAAATCTCATTACAGATGGTGTGAGCCACTATGTGGATGCTGGGAATTGAACTCAGGACCTTTGGAATAACAAGTAAAGCTCTTAGCCACTGAGCCATCTCTCCAGCCCTGTTTTTAACATTTAAAAGTCATAATTATTTGTTGCTATAGTCATTAGAATGATTTAGTCTTAGAGAAACAAAATCCCTAGTTTTTGAGAAATATATTTAGCAAATATTTTCCCATCTGAATCTCTATTTTTCCAGCAGATTGTAAGGTTGCTAAACTAAAGTGTAATTTTTTTTAAAAAAAGACAGTATCTTGCTCTGCAGGCTATTTTTTCTTTTTCCCTGTGCATGTATGTATGCATGCATGCATGTACTAATGTATTGTGTGTTCAGGTAGGCGTGGGTGCATTTGTGTGTACACTTGCCTGTGGAAGCCCAATGTTGGTGCCAGGAATCTTCCTTGTTATTTTAGTTTGTTCATTCTTGGTCAAACCAGAGGTCACCTATAAAGATAGTCTTCTAAGTTAGCTCACTCCAGGGATTCCCTGTTTCTGCTGACTAAGGCTGGAAATGTAGCAGGCTTTCTTGGACTGATAACCCTCAAATTATGACACAGAGACTTACCAATTATGAACTTGCCTTAGGTTAGGCTTGTTTCTAACTAACTTTTTTTTTTTTTTAAATTAACCCATTTCTATTAATCTGAGTGCTGCCCTGAGGTTTGTTTACCTCATCTCTATTCTGTCCTCCCAGCTTTCCTGCTTCCTCCAAGTCTTGCTGCCTAGCTGGCTCCCCTTTTCTCTGCCCACCAGCCCTGCCTATCCCTCCTCTGCCTGGCTATTGGCCGTTCAGCTTTTTATTAGATGCCGCGCACAATGCTTGTCTGCGCTCTATGCACTACCATACAGTTCACGAGCTTCGGGCAGGGGGCTGGAGGTTGAAACATACAAAGACACACAGACAGACAGAGAAAGAGACATGGACCTCTAGTCACTGGTAAGAAGCCCTTTATTCAATAGCACCATGGAGGCTCATATACCCAGCAGTCAAGTGGACCAACAAGTGAAAACCTTATCCTCTGATCCTCAAGGCCAAGGCAGCACATGCTGGTGAAGCAGAGCTGGTAAACAACTTTGACACAGCTTTCAGTAACTCAAATCAGAAGGAAAGTAAAGATCTCTAGCAGGGAAGAGCAGTTGCAGCCAGGACTCCAAACGTCCCAACAATTAATCAGGTGTCTTAGGCAGGCAAGGTAAAACAGCAACACATCTTTACAAAAGTAACATATCTTAACATAGTTAAAAAACTATTCCACAACACACCCACCTAACGTTTATGTGGATTCTGGTAATCGGAACCTCTGGTCCTCTTTCTTGCTTGGCAACTACTTTAACAATTCAGCCATGTCCCTCATCATCTGTTTCTTCCAGTAACCTTCTAATTATCTTCTCTGTTAAGTAGTGGAGGATGATCTGGAGTTTCTGATTCTTCTGCCTCCACTTCCTGAAGTGTTGCCTGGTTTATGTAGTACTGGGGATTGAGTCCAGGATTTTGTGTATACTAGGCAAACACTCATCTTCAGCCCACAAAACAATGGTGCATCTCACAATTCTGAGCATTTTGTGAGACCAGTTGAGTGAAAAAAAATCTTTTTTAAGATTTATTTTATTTTGTATGTACATGTTTTATCTCCATGGATGTATGTGCTTGGTGACTGGAAGTCAGAAGAGGACATTGGTTCCTCTGGAATAAAGTTAGAGATGGTTATGAACCACTATTTGGTTGCTGGTAATTTTAACCCAGGTCCTCTGCAAGAGCAACAAGTGTTCTTAACTGAGCTCTCTCCTGCCCAATTGAATATCCATAAAATATTGTTTGGAAGGTGAAATATATTCAGGATGATCCATTTGCATGTTTTAGCGGACATTTTCAGGTGAGTTCTTAGCGAGGGTAGTCAGTTGTAGCACCTTGATTTTCAATGTGGATGGACTTCCTATAGCATGGAAGGATATGTTTGTTTGGTTTTGGTTTTTCGAGACAGGATTTCTCTGTGTAGCCTTGGCTGTCTTGGAACTTGCTCTGTAGATGAAGCTGGCCTTAGATTCACAGAAATCTTCCTCCAGAGTGCTAGATTAAAGACATATGCCACTACTTGCCTGACTTCAAAGCCCATGGAGGGATTCCAAGAAAGCATCTCAAGAACATTCTCCACGAAAGGAAATGGAAATTGCCAGTCATCTGAAGTTTTGAGGTAATAAGGCCCAGAAAGTCTTCTATCACATTCTATTGGTCAGAGCAATTATGGTGTCATCCTACATTCAAATGAACAGAATATAAGCATACATGAAGAGCATACATCTTGGTAGACGTTTTAAAAGACTAGCTATCAATAAAACTGTCTTTGCACATGTTTCTTCCATGCACTGGAATGTTCTTTATAAAAAAAAAACGTTCATTCTGCAAGAGCCACGTTTTATTACAGTCCTTCTCTGACACCTCCAGTACACAGTAAATCTTTTCTCTGTATATATTTTGTGTATGTCATTCATTGTAATGTAGTTGCATGCACATTGTATTGTCAGTGTCTAGGAATAGCTGGTTATCACTAGGGCTGTCATGGTAAAGCTTTTATGGTTCCATTTGTTTGTTTTTTTTTTAGATTTATTTATTTATTTATTATGTATACAATGTTGTGTCTGCATGTCTGCAGTCCAGAAGAGGGCACTAGATCTCATCACAGATGGTTGTGAGTCACCACATGGTTGCTGGGAATTGAACTCAGGACCTCTGGAAGAACAGCCAGTGCTCTTAATCTCTAAGCCCTATGGTTCCATTTGTATCTGCTTCTAGCTAGTACCAACTTTGTATGGGGTTTTAGAAAATGTTCCTAGAACTTCAACACCAGAGATACTAAGTGAATATTCGGTCATGATAATTAAAAGAAAATGTTCCATTTCAAGGATTCTATTCAGGAAGAAAAATAACACATCTTAAACATTTAATATAAAATTTCAGGAAACCTGGTGTTTTGGTGTTGAAAAGTTTAAACTTACCTGAAAATCTGATTTTCCGTGCCTGCACATTCTCTGGTTCTATGAAGGTGAGATAATATTATAAGTTATCAAGAAAACGAAGCCACCTGTGTTCACAATAGCCACAAATAACATAAAATATCTTGGAGTAACTCTAACCAAACAAGTGGAAGACCTGTATGTCAAGAACTTTACATCTTTGAAGAAAGAAATTGAAGAAGACACCAGAAAATGGAAAGATCTCTTGGGTAAGTAGAATTAACATAGTAAAAATGGCAATCTTGCCAAAAGCAATTTACGGATTCAATACAATGCCCATCAAAATCCCAGCAAAATTTTTCACAGACCTCGAAAGAACGGTATTCAACTTTATATGGAAAAGCAAAAAAACCCAGGATAGCCATAACAATCCTCTACTATAAAAGAACTTCTGGAGGCATCACAATCCCTGACTTCAAACTCTACTACAGAGCTACAGTACTGAAAACAGCCTGATATTGACATAAAAACCAGACGGGAGGACCAATGGAACTGAATCGAAGATCCAGTATTAATCCACACACCTACAAACACCTGATTTTTGACAAAGAAGCAAAAATATAAAATAAAAAAAGGAAGCATATTTAACAAGTGGTGCTGGCATAACTGGATATCAACATGTAGAAAAATGAAAATAGATCTTTATCTATCAGCATGCACAAAACTCAAGTTCAAATGGATCAAAGACCTCAACATAAAGATAGCTACACCGAACCTCATAGAAGAGAAAGTGGGAAGTACACTTGAATGCATTGGCACAGGAGACCACTTCCTAAATATAACCCCAGTAGCACAGACACTGAGAGAAACAATTAATAAATGGGACCTCCTGAAACTGAAAAGCTTCCGTAAAGCAAAGGACACAGTCAACAAGACAAAACAGCAGCCTTCAGAATGGAAAAGATCTTCACCAACCCCACATCAGACAGAGGTCTGATTTCCTAAATATATAAACAACTCAAGAAATTGGTCATCAAAGGAACAAATAATCCAATAAAAAAATGGAGTACAGACTTAAACAGAGAACTCTCAACAGAGGAATCTAAAATGGCTGAAAGACACTTAAGGAAATGCTCAATATTTTAGCCATCAGAGAAATGCAAATCAAAACAACTCTGAGATTCTATCTTACACCTGTAAGAATGGCCAAGATCAAAAACACTGATGACAACTTATGCTGGAGAGGCTGTGGGATAAAGGGAACACTTCTGCATTGCTGGTGGGAGTGCAAGCTGGTACAACCCCTTTGAATGTTAGTGTGGCGATTTCTCAGAAAATTAGGAAACAACCTTCCTCAAGACCCAATAATACCACTTTTGGGTATATATCCAAAGGATGCTCAATCGTGCCACAAGGACATGTGCTCAACTATGTTCATAGTAGCTTTGTTTGTCAAAGCCAGAACCTGGAAACAACCTAAATGCCCCTCAACCAAAGAATGGATAAGGAAAATGTGGTATATTTACACAATGGAGTACTACACAGTGGAAATAATGACATCTTGAAATTTGCAGGAAAATAGATGGATCTAGAGAACATCATATTGAGTGAGGTAACACAGACCCAGAAAGACAAATATCTTATGTACTTACAAGTGGCTTTTAGACGTAAAGCAAAGAAAAACCAGCCTACAAATCACAATCCCAGAGAACCTAGACAACAGAGAGGACCCTAAGAGAGATATACATGGATCTAATCCATATGGGAAGTTGAAAAAGAATCTCCTGAGTAAATTAGGAGCATGGGGATCATGGAAGAGGGTAGACAGGGAGGGGAGAGGAAGAGAGAGGAACAGAGAAAAATATATAGCTCAATAAAAACAATTTAAAAAGAATGTCCCCCATAAGCACATATATTTAAATGTTTGATCATTGAGGAGAGGGACTACTTGAGAGGATTAGGAGTGTAGCCTTATTGGAGGGGTACATCACTGAGGTTGGGATTTGAGGTTTCAAAAACCCAAGCCAGATCAAGTGTCTCTTCCTGTTGCCTGATGATCCAGATGAAAAACCCTCAGCACCCTGTCCTTCTCCAGCACCATGCCTGCCTGCATGCCACCATGCCCCACATGACGACAAAGGACTAGACCTCTGAAACTATAATCAAGTCTCAATTAAATGCTTTTTTTTTGGTTAGAGTTGCCATGGTCATAGCGTCTCTTTACAGCAACAGAACAGTGGCTAAGACATTCATCCTTACAGAAAAAAAATTCATGAAAACAAAAGCTACAGTTTCACCCCATGGAACATTAGACACCAGAGCATCACATGGCTAAGAAAACAAACAGAGAAATAAAGAGTGGGAGTAGTCAGGAACAGAAGTCAAAGAATTTAAGTGCCCAAATCTGTTATCAAACCAAACCAAACAACTGGATAACAACCAAACTGCACATCCATGGAAGATCTTGAGCAACCAACGAAAACAGATCCTGCAAAGTGAAACAAATGGAGACTCCGCTGCTGAACTCTACAAAGAGTAGTCTGGAAATTGAATAAACTGACTTAAAACACAATCTTCTAAGTACCTTTCCTGCGGCATATGATTTGCAATGTCCAAGATGAAATCTTTCTGGATGTAAGGAACAGGAAAATATGTTTCCTATGTTTATGTTGGGGCAGGGGTGGTTCTTAAACCAAATACTGCAAGGAACAGACAAGAAGTTAAGCAACCTAAACTGTATTCAAGTACTTAAAGGTAGAAAAATAAAAAACAGGAAGAGCCATACAAAAAAAAAACCCAGAAGAAAACATCTGCTTTACTGATGCGCGTTAGTGACTTGTAAAATTTAGAAAACATCTATTGTTCTACAAGTTCCAATTTTTTCCCCCAAAGAGAAATAGGCTGAGAAGCTGGTGGGGCAATTTGGAAACAATTTAATATACAATTTAATATATGGACTTGCAGAAGAAAACAAAGAATAGAACACAAAATACATGTTTAGAAACAATGACTAAAACCTTCCTAATTTTTGTGAAGGACAATTTCAAAATAGTTAATGACCTGTAATTAACATAGAAAGAAAGAACAGTACTCATGGCTATTTGAAAGAAAAACAGAAAAAAAATAAATTGTGATGTCTGGTCACCTGTAATGGAATGATAAATTATGATTAACAAGAGACGAGCATGACTGACGTGGAGCCTTTGCTTTACTGCGCTTTAACGATACAATCAATGCTGGTTAGCTAGAGCTGAGAAATTAGTGCTGATTAAAAAGGGATGGGCAGTCAGGTAGTGGTGGCCCTTAGTCCCAGCACTTGGGAGGCAAAGGCAAGCAGATCTCTGTGAATTCAAGGCCACACACTACAGAGCTACTTCCAGGACAGCCAGGGTTACACAGAGAAACTATCTCGAAAAACAAGAAAACAAAATCAACAATGACCACCACCAACAAAACACACACACACAAAAAAAAAAAAAAAAAATGGGGGAGAGAGAGGGAGGAAGGGACCAGCATCATTGAGGTTAAAATTTTCTGAAACTATTTCCTCAGGGTCAGCTGTGATCCAGAATGGCCAAGGCTGCCTCTCATGTTGGCAGTCAAACTTGACAATGTGTGCAACTCTATCAAATGGTGTCAATCTTGAAGGCATGACGAAGACATGAAGAGCCGCTGGGTTGTGTGGCAGGGATGAGGTCCCCGAGGAAAGACCATTTGAGGGCGCAGCATCAGCTGCTGTGGGAGTGACACTAATCAGTGTCTTGAGACAACCACCTCAAACAGAAGCAGGTCTGGAGGAGAGCCAGCCTGAGTCTACAGGACATGCTGTGTGTGCTAAATCGAGCCGTTAGAGCCCAGCAGACTGTGAATTCGAGATATTAGATATTGAGATACCTTTGGACTTGGGTTTTGCTTTGATTTTATTGGGACCTTTTCTTGATTCTTTATTCTTGGAGTAAGAAAGTATATAACTTTTTTGTTGTTGTTTTGTTTTTTTCGAGACAGGGTTTCTCCGTGGTTTTGGAGCCTGTCCTGGAACTAGCTCTTGTAGACCAGGCTGGTCTCGAACTCATATAACTTTATTTTGATTTTACAAAAGTTCACTGTTGAGAGACTTTGGATTCCTTTTAATCAGGATCGCTTAACCTGCAGGCTTGCCCCAGAAATAGCCCTTGAGACCCGGCAGGAAACCGGGGCAGTAACACCGGGTAGAGGTGAGGTGCCCCTAATACACGTGAAAACCAGCAGCTAAAAACCTGCATGGACGACGGCGATGCGCTTGGCTAAAGGTGCTTGGCTCAAGAGTGGAAGACGTGAAGCTTGCAATCCTGACTGGCTGTGGCACTGGAAACTGGGCTCCTGAGAATCTTTATGCTTTTTGGGATCGCTCCGAGGGCCGGTCGGAAGGAAGTCATCAGAGAGCGACCGCCGGCTCGTTGACGTATTTTCGGTGCGCCGGCGCGGTGAGTCGCTGGGAGGCGACTCTGACAGCCCGGGAGTGGCTGCTGCTTGCCGCTCCCGTACTCCTTGAAGCCCCGGGGAGTTTCAGGCCACCTTGGCCCAGCGGCTGCACAGGATGCGGCTGGGCTCCGGGGCCTTCGCTGCCTGCTGCGTCGCGATCGAGGTGGTCGGGGTCGCGATATTTATTCGAGGATTCTTCCCTGCTCCGGTTCGTTCTTCTGCCAGACCAGAGCACGGTGTAGAAACCCCGGCGCCCGAGCCTGTAGCAGGTATGGATCCCCTTCCCGGTGGTCCTCGCTTTCATTATGCCCCTCCCCGGAACAGTTTGCACTGTGTAGGTTGTTTCATACAACTTGGAGGTAATCGCAGCCGGCCTCTGTGATAGCAGTGTAAGCCCCGAGTGACTCCGGCTCGGCTTCTCGTTTGCAGCTGTGCACTGATCCCTGTCTCTTCCTGATAATCCTCTCAATCACTGCCAATTTAGGTTTCCAGTTCTGAGCAATAGGTTTTAAGAGGTAATATTTCTTCAGACCCCTCCAATTTCCTGCTACTCTCCAGCATACCTCCCCATTCCATGGTTAAGAGTGCATTAGAACCCTGACTGTCCTCCTCACCTACACAGAAATACACACCAGACGAAGACTGATGCTTGAAACAGGTCCACACAATCCTGGCACTGGACGTGTAAGCCATTTCTAAATCCACCGGTTTACTACCTGATAGGCTATGTTTTAGGCGTGGGCACAGATCCCAACTGTAGGTCTTTTATGGAGAGGCGTTCCTGCCCTAGACTCCTCCCTGTGCTAAGATCAATTCACCACGTATTACTGGGTACCTGCTGGTTGTTAACATAGCCTAGCCCAGAACACATCCTGCTCGGTAGTCTGACGTCTGTGGGCTAGTGATAACCCTTGTCTTTCAGGGTTGCCTTGTCTGGCCTCAGAAAATTAACAATGGCTACCAAAAATGGGCTTTCTTTCTGGTCGAACTAGATATGATATGTGTTAGAAGAACAAGCAAAAAGACATTAAAGGCAGTTGAGTACTAAATAAAATCTAAAGTTTATTTTCCTATTTATTTATTTTTAATTTCCCCTTTTCTAAACACTTTTAGGAGCCAGGTCCAATTGGACCAAGCTGCCATCTCCTCTCTTCAGTAAAGTTGTTATTGTGCTGATAGATGCCTTAAGAGATGATTTTGTGTTTGGGTCCAAAGGCGTGAAGTACATGCCCTACACAACTTACCTGGTGGAAAAAGGAGCATCTCATAGTTTTGTGGCCGAGGCAAAGCCACCCACAGTTACCATGCCTCGAATCAAGGTAAATTTAGCATGATGTTTTATGAATCTTGATTTGACTATTTTGAACGTTTAGAGAGATTATCTGATCTACTTGGAAACCCTGTTTTAATAAAATGGAAAATATTTTGTTGCTGTCAGTTTTACTGGGGGAGTGGGATGCTGAAGGAACCCCGTAATAAGATGGAACCATCTTTTTACCTCTTGTGAAGTAGCCAGAGTTCATACTTAATGAAAAGAAGGAAAAATTTAGAACCAGATTTTCCAGGCCACTGTAAACCAAGAGATCCCCTCCTCTTTGGTGGCCTGCTGTGTTCCAGAGTCTTCAGGCTTGAGGGAACCTTTAGGGATATTCAGACTGTTTCATAAGTTGTATACATAAGAAAACAAACTCAAATTAAATTGCTTGTTGAAATTATACAAAATGATCAAACAAGTATGAACTGGCCCCAACAATTGTTACTTCTATATAATTAAGTGTCCACTTTGGTGAGGGTAGTTTTGAAGTGCATAGTGGTTCGCCCAAGAATCATGGCTAAATTAAAAAAAAAAAAAATGAAGCTCTTTTTGTAGATTGGCTTGAAGACTACTTACTGAGCAAGTACTAGGTATTGATAGTGTAATGGGTACACATTTAAGGGTAACGGTACCTCCACTTTCAAAGGCTGTTAGTCTCTATGTTCATACATAGCCACTAAACAAGTGAGCTTTCAAATAAACATAATTATCTTGTGATGAGTGCCTGATGGAAGAGAACCGCATGCAGTACTGAGTTTGGAGGGGTAGAAATGTAGTTGAGGTTATGGAGTAGAAAAACCCGTCTGAGGAAATTACACTAAAAAGATACTATCAGGACGAGTAGGAAGAGTGTTGGCAGAAAGGGCAAAGGAGCTTGAAAATCTGGGCCTGTACTGCATTTTTAAAAAATCATTTTATTTGTTTGAGCATTTTGTCTGCATGCATGTATGTGTACTACATATGTGCATGGTGCCCGCAGAGGGCAGACTAGAGTGTTGTGTCCCCTGGGCTGCAGTTATAGGTGATTGTGCGCTGTCCTATGAATGCTGGGCACTGATGCTGGGCTGCCTGCAGGTGTCAAGTGCTCTTAACCACCGAGCAACCTAACAAGACCCTAGATTATTTGAAGTTCTTGTTTTTAAGCCACTCTTCCATTGGGCTTCACTGGTCCAGTGTGGTTTAGGGCCAGCCAGTTACTGTGAAGGTTGTGTTTGAGCTTATCTCATATCAAGACCCCTATCTGAGGCTCGTGTGCAGGGACACCTGACTGACCTGACTTTCACTGTTTGAGCAAGAACTCCTTCTCAGCCAGAGGAACTAGTAATTTTGGCTATTTCTAAGTCACCAGATTCCAAAAATATGTGGATACTTTAAAACTTATCTGTAGTTGTCGTCTTTCCCAGAGCCCCCTTTCAGATTTTAAGTAGGGTGTCTTGTTTGTCACAGCCAGCTGCAATGGAGCCATTGTCAGATCAGGTGATAGGAAAACCACAGGTACAGTGTTTCCTTGGCTAATGTCTGCACAACTTACTGCATAATTTTGGTGACTATTTAAGTTTCAAAGTAATTGCTTTTGATAGTTTTGTTGGTTTTCCTTTGCTCTTGGGTGGGGGGGTGGTGGTGGAGGGATTTGCCAAGCTCCTCATTCTGCCACTTTGGAGTCTGGTTAATTATATTTACTTACTTGGCTTTTGATAAAACTCAGCAGTAGAGCACTTGCCTAGCATGGGTATAGCACTGAGTTCAAGACCTAGAGCCTAAAACTGAAGTTTGCGTTTATTTGCCACTGAAGAAATTTTATTAGAATTCTGTAGTCATTACAAAGATTCCTGTTCCTTTTTATCACAAATCTATGGCTATTGTCTTAAGTGGTAATATAACTGCAAATCATGGAGATTTATTGTTATTGCTGTGGCCTGGTAGGGTCTGTGGTAAAAGTGGGTGGAATATTGACTCCTCTATATCAGAAAAACAGGATATTTCAAGGCCACTGTCTATTGCATGGTGCTACACTGTGGGTGGGGTCTGATAATCCACTAACAGTCTTGGCCCACTTCACTTTGAGAACTCTATATCAGCAGTTTAAAAAAAAAACTATTTAAGAGACAGATAATAGATTTGCTGGATTGTTAGGGCTTGTTTGTTAGAGTTAATGAGCTTGCTTGTCACATAGAGCATGTTAAATCTTACTTGGAACCCTGACAAAGGGTCTGAATATACAGGTTTATGTTTTCAATGTATATGCATACATATTAGCATTAACTGTCATTAACCCAGAGCTTCTGTGATTGGCACTATGTCTGACTGTTATTGTCTCCTCCTCTCCTGTCTTACCCATGAAAGGATTGCCTGAACCATGTTCATTAAATAATCAAATCTTCATTGTCTGTGTCCTGTCTCCCCACTGCACTGGCCCTATTGCTTTCCTAGCTTTCAGTCAGTGGCCAGTATAGGATCTACTGTAGGTGTGTACCCGTCTGCCGCCGAGGCTGCACTTTTGGATCTGTTTTTTAAGTCTCGAATGTTTCTTCCTGCAGGCATTGATGACAGGGAGTATCCCTGGCTTTGTTGATGTCATCAGGAACCTCAATTCTCCTGTGCTCCTAGAAGATAATGTGATAAGACAGGCCAAAGCTGCTGGGAAAAGAATGATCTTTTACGGAGATGAAACATGGCTTAAATTATTCCCAAAGCATTTTGTGGAGTATGATGGGACAACATCATTCTTTGTGTCAGATTATATAGAGGTCAGCTTCCTGCCCCCGCCCCTCCCCAATTACAAGGTCTCACGTAGCCCGGGTATGGCTGGAACTTGATATATATCAGTGGAACAACCTTGAACTTTTTGTATTTGTGCCTCCACCTCCAGAGCGCTGGGATTACAGCCATGCACTCCCACACCCATTTCAGAGGTCGGATTGGGATTACAGCCATGCACGACCACACCCATTTCCGAGGTCGGTTTCTTAAAAAGAGCAACATATGCCTGAAGTCGAGCCTGGTGCTACCATTTTCCACTCAGGCGATGCTATTTCCTGTGTGGTATTTATTAATTTATGGAGTGGTGTGGCAAGAGTATAAAAATCATTCATTTACATAATCAGTTGTAAGTGGAGGCATAAACCCTGTGAACCGAGGTGTGTAGGCCCCCAAATGCAAA